ATTCCTCTCCTCCCTCCGGCTCCCTCCGTTTCGCCCTCCCTCGCTCCCTCCAGCTCGTCACTGGGGCACTGGGGTGAATGGACAGCTATTCTTATTCTAATTCCTCTGTCACTCTGTGGGCCACTGGCTGAAAGAGGGGAATGGTCTCCAGGCTTTTGGAATGCACCACCCCTTTTCTTCTGGACACTGGGGGAGAGTGAAGGGCGAGAGAGGCAGAGAGGAGGCCGGAGAGAGAGAGAGATAGTTAAAAAAGAAAGAGAGATAAGAGAGGAGGATGGAAGAAAATCTATTGGGAAAAGGACTGAGGGAAGAAGGAGGGAGAAGAGGACGGAGACATTTTGGCTCTCTGTGGTAAACTAGGCCACAGAGCTTCAGTGCAGCACCATCACCGCCCACCCCACCACACCACCGTATTACACCACTTTCATGGCACTTAGCAAGGGGAATGACCAACAGATGGAAGCGTCACCTCTTCTCTGACCAACCCCAACTTACTTTCTCTTACTAACTGACTCACTCTCGAGAGGTGCATCAATACCACTTTTGTCAGTGTTGTTCTTGGTTCTGAACACTTATATATACATATACACATATTTCATAGTTTTAATATGTGCTCAAATTCAGTTCAAATTACACTTTTCAGTGACAACTTGACAGAAGTTCAGCATGTGAATTGTGTCCTTTTTTAGGCCTGTCAGCTCCAGATAGACTATAAAAGAGATGTGACAAATCAACTGGGTTGAGGCATCAAAATGGGGCCACGGGGGTCAACTCTATTTTAAAAAACCTAAAAGGTTGAAGCAACTGGTGCTATGACTACAAAAGAGAAAGAGAAAGGGAGTTGGAAGGTGCATGTTTGTGCCTGTGCATGTAAGATTTATGTGGGTTATGTGCATGCATGTGTGTGATTCAGGCTAGACAAATAACAAACTGCAGGAGAGAACAAAGCAGCTTTCACATCCACAGCTCTCTGGTGATGTAACCTTTGACCTCTGCTAAAGGGGGAGATGGAGAGGCGCAAGTTCTAGGCTCGATGACTCAGGGCACATGTTGCACAAATCAGCCATATAGAGGCTATTCATCATTGCACTTCCGTTCTCTGTCTTTTGCACTTCTGAGACAACTGAGATATCCTCAAAGTAACACCTTCTCCAAAAGAACTGATATCACAAACCTAAAGAGAAAGAGCAAAGATTTCAAATATGTTTAAATCAAAATACTCTTTCATACAATCATCATATATTCTGTAATCCTCCACAGGCATCTATGTATAAAAACTACTGCAGAAGTCAATTAAATGTCCAGATTAGCCTCGACCTTGAGCAAAGACTTTGACGCAAACACATACACACAGTCCTGACAACAAGATAAGAGGAAACCTGCAGAAAGGTCAGTGCCACCACTTCTGTGTACAGCTCAGACAAAGCCAAGAAATCTCGAGACACTAGTCCAAACAATCCCAGACTCCAATATCCTTGAACTGAATAACACGATAAGTCTGACTCTGAGTTTGTGTACACATCAAACGAAGGGCTTCAGACTGAGCTACTGAGCAAGACGCTGTTGTTAAAGTGTTGTAAAACAAGGGATCAGATGATTCAGATGAGCTAATGGAGGAAGTTTGCTCTCCTAATACAGGCAGGTGGCTCTACTGCTACCTGCACCACTGTGAGGAGAAATATGTGGCCTGCAGGCATATAAAGCAGTGGTTTGGCAGAAGTGCCAAAAACTGCAGGTCCTCCAAAAGCCAGTCAAAAAGGAAACACTGGAAACACCAGCAGTCTTTTAGTAGACAACGCTGACTGGTCCGCTAATTATCCCAATGCGTCCCGCCATTCACTAGTGTTCCAGTTTAATGAGTGACCCTGTTAACTGGAGACTTTCAGTTGAATATGTTGACAAACTGGTGACTTAATTCCGCTTAAAGTTGGCAGCGCCTCCTTAAATCACCACACGGAAAATCCCCTCACCACGACAGCCCCATTTTAATCAAATTGTAATGTCTATTATTTTGAGTCAGTTTAGTTTGTTAGTTAAGCTACTCTTCAACCACCTACGTACCCCCTGGGTTACCGCTACTACCTCTGGTTGGGAATCACTGATCTAGACAACACAAAGCATAAAAAGAAGAAAAATATGACATCAAATCTGCAAATAACAAACAAAGAGTCAATACAGAAATTCCA